CATCACCAATGGAGTACTGCGCATCACCAATGGAGTACTGCGCATCACCAATGGAGTACTGTGCATCACTGATGAGCACACGAAGCACATCGTTTCATGGGAAGAGTTGGAGGAAATGATGCTAAGCAAAGCCAGCCAATCACAAAAGGCCAAGTACAACATGAGTCCCCAGCACAGTAGGTGAAAAAAGCCACAGTCGAAGAGAAGCCATTTCTCACAATATACAGATTGAGGTCCAGGCCGTCGGGTGGAGGTCAGACTAAACCCAAGGAGCTGCATCTTAATCCAACACAAAGAAGTGGAAAGGTGGGAAGGAAGAGGGAGAAAAGGGTGGGTTGGGTGAGAGTGAGAAGGTGGCATGGGGGGAGCAGGGCACTTACCCACCCACGGGGAGAGTATCGATTATGTCTCCACAGAATCGGGAGTGTGCATACAGACCCCAGCACAACACACCAAACCTTGAGGGCAAAGCAACCACATGGAGGAATGCATGAAAAGATTAGGCTCCAGAGCTGGCCCCAACCAGAGCCAAACTGACCCCCCCCCCCCCCCCCCCCCCCCCCCCACCCCCACCCTAGAAGTATGTGCGACAGAGCACAACACTAAACCTACAGCTTGGGGTGAGGGGCCAGCATATCACACCCACACAGAAGCAAACCAAGAAGGAAAAAGAGAAAGGGGGGATCGTTCTAGACCCCATATCGGCACACCTAGCCTGGAGGACGATGTCCCTGCGTGGAGCTGCTAAGGCACAGTTTTAGGGCAGACAACAGCTCACGACATGTTGTCCCCTTACTGGAGCATACAGTGACAGGGGACAATACTGGGGACACACCACAGGGAGGAAGGGCAACCTGAACTCCCGCAGCGGGGCAAACCAAGAAGGACAGAACAGTAGGAAGACTGTGGACAAAGTGGATTCACAAAGTGGCTGCGTGGAAGAGCTCAACCCGAGAGCAGTTGTGAGGATGGCTGAGGACCAGGCAGTGTTTCGTACTATTGTACCTAGACGTCGTTGTGAGTCGGAACCGACAGGACAGCACCCGACACCACCACCAACATGTGTGTGACTGAGAAAGACGTGAGTCTGTTTGTAAAGAGACGAAAGATACATGACTCCTGTTCCTGTGAGAACCCTGAACGGCTCCTTAGGCTCTATCCCCTCTGGGATCGTGGCTTCTTTTGCTGCTGCCACCACTAGAAATAGCCACCAGAGGGAGCGATTTTGCCCCCGGGGGGCTCTTTTGAGGGCCCTCTGGTAAAAGGTTTGGTGGAACCCACAAAGATGTGGCTTCTCTAACGATGACAAGCTTGGAAGCTCTATGGGGGCGACTTCTACTCTGCCTGGCAGGTTTGCTGGGATTATTTGTAATCTAACCACCCTCTGGTTTCCCTCTTCCTTCGGAGGCCTGGTGTTCTGATCCACTTACACCTCCCGAGGGCAAGATGGCCTTGGGCAGTGTCAGCACCCTCAGAGGGAAAAGCAAGCCTTGAAGGGCAGTTGACTTCCAGCCCTCTATTCCCCACAAAACTGGGCCCCAGAACTCCCCAGCTTCTGCAGAAAGTACTGGTCCTGTGTCCCACAGGCCTCCGACACTCCTCCGGCCCCAGCCAAGGTCTCAGCCCCAGAGGCTGCAGAGGGAAAGGCGAGCTTTGGGTCCCTTGCCTTCTGCACAGTCCTGGGCACAAGGTGCCACCTCCCAGGGCCTCAGCCTTCCCCATGTAAAATCATCCACGCTGCAGGGTTCTCGTGGGGGTGAGCGAAGATGTTAGGGACAGAACAGGGAAGCTGGTGTTAAGAACAAAGGAGTAGTCAAGAAGACGTCAGCTGATAAAACTGCAGTCAAACTTACCAGTTCAAGGACCCTGCGATTAGGGAACGCCCTCCCACCTTCTGCATGCGCAGCGAGGGAAGAAATGACCCAGAGAAACCTCCTTGCCCATTATAATAATAAAAGTCACACCCACTGGCGCCATGACAGTTTACCATCACCTAGGAGATCGCCATGACACTTCCGGCCTGACCATATAAAGGAAAGTACGGGGTGGGCCCCGCCGTTATCAGAATTCGCCCCTCCTTCCCCTGGGATATCATGAATATTCTTCCTCTTCATTAGAATACATTTTTAAAAGTAGAATAAATACCTCTGCATTGTGCCACCCTAAGCCATCTGTACTCCAGGAGACTGACCGGTCCTCCCGTAGAACCTACTCTTCTGCTTCGAAGCAAATGCTTGGGTAGGTGAGACGCAGCGCCTTTGTAATACGTTTCTATTTTGCTAAAGCGATCGGGCCACTAACTCTCCGATTCTTCAGCGGGACCAGGAGCTGGAGTCCAGGGATGTCCAGAGAGGAGCATACCTGGTGCCACCATGTGGCAGGTGCTGCAGAATTCTCCCCGGTCTCAGCCTGGGTCCCTCCAGGTGCAGGTATGGCTTGGTACGAATGTGTGCCCTTGGCTACCTGGAGCTTTGATCCTTTCTCCTTGGGTTCCCTCTGGCTGGCTGTGGATGCTGACATTGTCTGGTCCCCTTTGCCTCCGGGACCCCCTTCAGGAATCCCCCTGTTCCTGCCCTCTGGAATGCTTGGGTACCATCTGCCTCCTTGTCTTCAAACTTCTGATTGGAGGTTCGGTCCGCTCATCGGCTGTCTGGATGAGGCGGAGTACATGGCCCAGACCGTGGGCCCCTTCCCGAGGTCTGGACTCCCTGCCTGGAGCGCTGTAGCCATGTACCCCGTGATGAGAGTGTGGTGGCATGAAACCCATTTCCAAGTCAACCGCGCTGAGTGTTTCAAAGATGCTCATGGCAGAGCACTCTGTCCTAGCCATGGCTGGTGCACCAGTAGTCATGGACCTTGGAGAATCGAAGGCCGCAAGGAGGAGGCTGGCAGGCGGAAGGTAGGCAACCCCTGCCAGGGAACCGGGAATCCCCGCCCCAGGAGGATGCCCGGCCAGGGGGCAGCGGGCAAAGGCTCCAAGGAGCGAAAGGAGAGATAAGCAGCTTGGTTCCCTCTCATTCGCATTGGCTTCCTGGCCAGAGATGCCCTCCCTTTCTCTTTGTTTTCCCTCCTCCTAGACATCATGGGACAAGAAACTTTCATACCTACCAATTCCCCATTGGGATGCCTGCTGGAAAAGAAAAAAAACCAACAACCCCTGAAAGGCACTGGGTTCAACAGCCTCTGTCTTTTAGCACACCGCCTGCCCTCATATCATCTAGAGGAGCACGAGAAATGGCTAGTTCGTGGCAGTTAGACTCTGAGACCATTCCACAGCTAGATCCGTTTTATAAAACAGGAGCAGAGTGGTCAGAGGTCCCGTCTGTCCAAACTTACAGATATTGAAGAGGCAGTCCACAAATGCTCTCTCGAAAGGAGGTGAGAGGGGGTAGCACCCATTTCAATAAGCTGAGAAATGGAGCTCCCTGCTGTCCCGACCCTATGGAGGTGGATTCTTTTCTCCCAATGGAGCACAACCTCCCCCACCCCCCACCCCTTACACTCACCCCTCCCCACCCAACCTGGGCAGGCAGCGTTGTTACCATTATAAGAAGTCAGGAGGGAGGCCTTTGAAGGTGCCTGTGCCTCTCTTAAAGCCTGCAAAGAAAACTTTGGGACGCTTCTCAATTGATCCCTCCACCTTCCTTAGAGAACTCCAACATATGACTTTGGCCTTTGATTTAACCAGGAGAGATCTGTGGGTTATATTTTCTTATTGTTGCACCCCAATGAAAGAAATAGTCTAATTGCTGCAGGGCAGGCATGTGGGGACCACCTCCACATTCACCAGCCCCAGCTTACCCCCTGCAAATCAAGGGGTCCTCAGAATGGGAATGCCAACAGGGGCCTTGAGAGCCACCCTGAGACCTTGCATGATCACCTGTAATAGAAGGAAGGAAGGCAGTATGAATCAAACCCATTCGAGGCAGTGCAGATGTATACAGAACTTAAATCCCAGTTCTGCCGAGGCAGCTCTAGCAGGGAACACTCATTTCATTAATCAATCGGGCCCTGATTGGGACCCCAGGCCTCTGTATCCCAGCGCTTAGAAGGGACGAGCACTAGCACACTAAGCGGGACCTGGAGGTAACAGAGAGGAACTGCAAAAAAAAAAAAAAAAGACAAATTCTAGCCCTGGCTCTTGTTTCACAAGGTAAGCCTGCAGCCGGTGGGAACACCAGGGGAAAGAGGGAGGGAGTGCTACTGGTGTGGCATGGCGGGAGCACTTCCAACACACCTGTCCAGCACTCTGACTGGAAAAATCGGCTGGCCCGTAGAAGCATGCCAGTGTGCCCAGACACCATGCTCCAAGTGTGGACAAGTAGGCCACTGGGCACGTGACTGCCCCTCGTTCTCAAAGGAGCATGGAGGAGGTCACAATGTCAGTGGCGATGGAGAAGGGTTCCAGGATGTAGAGGTGCTCCCTCCACTCCAACCATGCCCATACCTTCTGGAGACGCCCCAGGTAACCGTGGATGGAGCCGGTAACTCAATTAAATGTCTCACTGACGCGAGAGCGACTTACTCGGTACTTCGGGCTTCCTGCGGCCTCTTGTCTGCCCCCTCCTGTTTTGTTGTAGGCATTGATGGAAAACCAGCTGCGCAGCAGGGAGGGAATGCTCTTAGCTCACCAGTTTTAACTCATCCCCGAAGTCCAATACCTTTGTTGGGATGAGAGTTCTTAGCAAAGTTAGGGTTCCTTACAACTGCAGTTTCTCTACTAATGTTTGGATTTTGCCTGTTCAATTTTCTGGTAAAATATGTCTCATCCATTACACAGGTGAACCAAATCCAAGTGCTAAGAGAACCAGATGGATGTACTTTAATTCTCACTCAACTGGACCCCCTGGATCAAGCAAGCTCTTCCATTGGGTAGTGGAGTCCAGCACCTCCTAAGGCCAGGGCCAGGTAGGAGGTGGAGAGAAGCCTCCCCCACTACGACCCACTCCAGCAGGAAGCAGCTAGATGAGTCATCGCCCCTTGCCCAGAAAGAATTTGAGGCTCCTCTCCCCTCAGGGAAGAAGGTTAGGGACAGATCAGAGAAGCTGGAAAATCCCACTGAGAAAAAACACAAATTTATCAGAAGTTTCTCCCCTCCCCTCCCTGAATCACCACTCCCCCTCCGACAATCATGAATATTCCTCCTTGTCCTTAGCATTCCTTGGTAAATTGTGCCCCACTGGCTTGTCTCCACTCTGAGGAGACTGGCCTGTTCCCTCCTGTAGAACATGGTTTTGCTCTGAAATAAACCCTTGGCAGAATGAGACCGTGTCTGTGTCATACGTGTCTATTGGGAACAGGCTGCTGACTCTCGGGTTCTTCGGGGGGAAGCCAGAGACATTGGGTTGGGCATGGATAACCATCTATGTGGTCACGCTTTGTGCATGCTCATGTAAGGGCCCCTGGTAGCACAATGGTTAAGCGCTCAGCTGCTGGCTGAAAGGTGAGCAGTTCCAACCAGCCCCAGGGGCTCCACGAAAAAAATCCAGGTGAGCCTTGGGGGTTCTGTGTCGAACTCTCGCCTCCCAGAAAGCCCAGGGGACCTGCTCCTGTGCCTATCGTAGCCTAAGACATCCTGTGGGGCTGGTCTCACCGGCGTCACCCTGCATAGGAAAGCACCTGCACAGCACCGATAACAACAGCAACCGTGCACTGAGGTACCACTCTCATGTTGGCAGGGATCCGAGGGTTAAAGCCCTGGGCATTCAGCATCAACCCAATTAAGTGTGAGCCCACTGTTGGCACCACTGGGTCAGTTCATCTCATTGAGGGTCTTCCTCTTCCTCGCCACCCTCTACTTTACCGAGCATGATGTCCTTCTCCAGGGACTGGTCTCTCCTGGTAACGGTCCAAAGTCTGTGAGAGGAAGCCTCACCATCCTCGAGTCTCAGGAGCATGCTGCCTATGCCTTCTCCTCCGAGTGGGGTTTTCATGCAGCAGTTGCAGGTGACAGGAGAAGACGTTCTCTATGTCGTTCAAGGGACTGGCCACTCGGAGGGTTGTGTGACAAGAGACCTAGCATTTCCATTTCCATAGGATCACTCAAAGCACTGATTTCTTTTCTAGCTTCTTCATGAATTTTCTTCCATTTAAAAAAAAAATTACTTTATTATTGAATGGGGATTAATATACATATCATATCATTCCATTGTTCAGTCACATCCAGCAGAGTTATACATTTGCTATGACAATCAGTTTCCAAATATTCCTTTTCTACATAGACTCCTTAACATCGTCTCCCCTTCCCCGCCGCCGCCCCCCCTCTGAGACCCTTACCCTATTTGCTATCTCTTTAGGGTCAGCAATCCTGGGTTTCATATACTGAAAATGAAAAACCATATAACATAACTTCAAGAAGGTGATCCCCAATGACCTAACACCTCTGGGATACACCCTAATATGTACAACAACAAAAAACCCAAACCAAATCTACAGAAAAATTTGGAAATCAAATCAGGTCCAGCCTGCATCATAGGGGAGATCTGCTGACAAAGTTTTAACTGTTCAAGTCGGATTTTATGCCTTTAATCTTCCATACTCAGCTCTCAATGTCCTCTGATTAGTAGTAATCACTTTCCTTCTGTCCCTGAATTGTGGATAGAGAGCGTTCACCAGACGTTTATTTCCTCTGTAGGTTCCGTTTGGTTTTTTTCCGTGTCATTTTTGGAAGCCCTTCATAAATTCACATCGATCTATCTGTCAAGAGAGAAAGAGAGGAAGAGAACACCCTGGTGGTGCTGTGAAATAAGTGTTGGGCTTTTAGCTGCAAGGTCAGCAGATCAAACCCACTAGTCACGCCAAGGGAGAAAGATGAGACTGTTCTTATGAATCTCAGTAGCCCTTTCTAGGGAGAGAGTAAGTCCTCAGAAGCGGGCTTGTTTTCTTGGTTTTACGCACACGCAGACGCACGTGAGAGTAAATCCAATTCCAAGTAGCTTAAGCTCCAGAGGAACTAGTTGGTGAATCCAACTGAAAGGGGCAATGTCTCTAGGAAGATCTCTCTCTCTCCATCTGATGGCCTCAAGATACTGGCTGCAGTCCCTGGCAGAGCCTTTTCCAGGCGGCTGACATCAGACCTAGAGCCTGAACACTTAGTAAACCCAGAAGAAACAAGGTTCACCATTGAAATCCCTGAAAGTGGGTCATTTGCCTGGAGGCTACAAAACATAAGATTCAAGTAGGTATCAGCAAATTATAACCCGTATGCCAGGCACCTGTTTTCATAAACGAAGGTTTGTCGAAGCAGAGCCACACCTTAAGGATTCTGGATGGCTGCTTTTTCCCACATAGCAAGGTTGATTCGTTCCAACAGAAACAGTCAAACGGCCAGCACTGAAATTCTGGCTCTGCCCTGGTGATGTAGCGGTTATGTATTGGCCTGCTCACCAGAAGGTCAGCAGTTCAAAACCTGCTGCTCTAGGGAGAAAGGTGAGGCTTTCTACTCCCGTAGAGAAATGCAGTCTCAGAAACTCCCAGGAGCAGTTCTACCCTGTCCTATAGGGTCGCTAAGATGTCAACTCAATGGCAGTGAACCTAGTTTTCGGCTTGGGCCTGTTAGTAGGCTGGGTAACTAACCTTGGGCAAGTGATCTCACCTCTCCGGGTTTTGGCTTCCTCTTCACACTGGGGATAGCCAGAGGACCTGCATCAGGTTAATGCAGTGGGTCCCAGAGCATGGCACAGACCAGCCACAACAGACTCTCCAGGGAACTTGGTAGCCAGGCACGTTTCTGGGTCCTTACTCAGGCCCACTGGTGCTGTATGCCCCCCATACCACTCCCAGGAACCCTACACGAGAGAGTGAACCAGCCCCAACTGCCCCACGGGGTTACCACAGCTTGCTCCTTGGGTGGTCCATCCCTGATCCCGACCCATTCAATAGAACAGGAACCAACCCAGAACAATGATGTCTCCTAGGACTCTTTCTGTTTGTTTGTTTGTTTGTTTGTTTGTTTAACTTTGTATTGTGAATTAGCTGAAGGTTTAGAGAGCAGCTCATCGGTTTTCCAGTCAAGAATTCATATGCATTTTGTTTCATCCCATTCCTTGCAACGCCCTCAAAGTACCATCCCTTTCCCACCGCCTCCTGCGTTTTCATTTTTCCTTTCCTAACTTTCTCTCACTGCCACTGAGTCGATAGTGACTCACAGTGACCTTACAGGACACGGTAGAATTGTCCCTGTGAGTTTCCGAGACTGTCAGTCTTTACCGGAGTAGAAAGCCTCATCTTTCTCCCGCAAAGCGGCTGGTGGTTTCAAACTGCTGACTTTGTGGTTAGCAGCCCAACACGGAACCACTGGCCTTGGGTAAATGCTGCCCTTTTGATCTCAAATGGTTGGCTTTTCTAAGGCTCACTTACCACCCTAGTGCTATTCTTCTGCCTTATGTTGTGGTGGGGGTTAGGTGCCATCCAGGGGGCTCCAACCCATAGCGACCCTAGGTCCCTCCAAAGGAAGCACTGCAGGGCCCTGTGCCATCCTCACAAGTGTTCCGATGCCCGCGCCCACTGACGCAGCCCCGCTGTCAATCCCTCTCTTAGACCCATCTACTGTTGGCTGACCATTGAGCCCTGGAGGTGAGTTCAGCTTCAGACCTGAAGAGTGGCTCCGACCATAGATTCCAGGTTTCCACTGAGGCCCTTTCTAAAAAAAAACCTCCCTTTCTTTACCTCCCAGTCACCGTCTTCCTCCCCGATTCTCTTTCTCCCCCGAACATGGGTTCTTTTCTCTCGGCGGCCTGAGAAAGTGGGGGGGCCTGACAACTCTGCGCCCCATCAAGGGAAGGGCTGTCTAATTTGAGATGAGTGTTGCATTACTCATTGCTCCGGGACCTTTGATCTACCAGATTTGTTTCTTTTATCGCCGTGCAGAGCTGGCACTAGTGCCCTAACTGCTCCGTGCCCCGGTGTCTTTCAGGGGCTGCCAGAGACCTCTTCCTGGAGAAAGCCGGTGGAGATCTTATTTAATGTCAAGATAATGACTGTTTGGCTGCCCTGGTCGTTGGTTTGCACTTTCAATATTTTTACATTGACATCCAGAGAGCACTGTTAAAATTCTATCTTGTCTGCTAAAGTAGACGGGATATGACCACCGTTTTTGTTTGCTTTTTTAAACCCAGGTTTCTGTTTGAGCAGTTGGTTTATTTCATGCCTGGGAGATAACGGAACTAAGGGTGCGCGGTCACTTGAGTGGGAGCGTTCAGCGGCACGCTTTTTATTTGTGTAAACACCGAGAAGAGGCGTAAACAACAGGCTCGGTGAGGGGCAGCGGGCGTGCCCTGGCTGAGAGCCCAGGCCCGAGCGCCAGTGTCCTTCAGACCCTCCCGCGGCTGCTCGCTCTGCCATATGACTCTGAGCCGAACGTCCAGGCCCTCCTGCGCCTCGGTTTCCCCACAAGCAAAGCAGAGATTGTGATGGGTGGCTGATGAGTTCATGACGATAAGATTCGTGGCATAGGAGAAACGGTGTTCAAGTATCGGCTATTTATTTAGCTAAAACCTTTGAAAGTAATGCGATGAGTTTGGAATGAGGACAGGACAGGCTCTCTCATTTTATTAGGGACTTCGAGACCCGGACCGGGTCTCCATGACCCGCCAGGCTTCCAGCCTCGCAGGCCCGGGGCTCACCTTTGCTCCACTTTCGGGAACAGGAAGGCCTTGCAATTCCAGATTCTGCCCTGACCCTGAGGCCACATCCAGGTTTTCAGCGGAGGGGATCTGGATTGCGGTTCCAAATGCGCCCCTGCCTCTCTGCTTAGGGAGTCACCGTCAGGAGGCTCCTACCTCAGTTACCTGGAAGAGACGACCCAGCCAGGAAGCACTGCTCGTTTTCCAGTTTACCAATGAGCGGTCCAGTAGTGGTGCATGCAATGGTTCAGAGCTGGGCTGCGAATTGGAAGGTTCAGAGGTTTGAACCCACAAGAGGCTTCTCAGGAGAAAAGTCTGATCATCACTTCCATAAAGATGAAAGACAACGCTTCCTCAGCAAGCTGAATGTAGAAATGCCATGAGAGATCTGGAACACATTGTGCTGAGTGACACCACCACCCACAAGAAGTCAAAGATTACACTGGACCATTGTTCTAAAGCCGGAGAAGAAGATAAAGACTCCCATACCAGAGGGAACAGACTGGAGATTGCCAGGCGGAGGAGGGACTGGGTAGGAAGATAAAGCAACAGGCTAGACCAGGGGACTATAAACTCCTGAGACAGAAGATACAATCCTGTCCCTCACAGCAATTTTAAAATTGTCTGGAAGCCATAAATAC